CACTAAACCAACCCTTTTCTGAATATGTAGCACAATGTGTTTCGAAGCTCATCACTCGGTCTAATGATACTGAAGCTGTAGTAAAGGAACGACTCCGCATTTACAATGAAAAGGTAGTGCTTCATTCTCCCAAAATGTTCTTCACAAATGACACTAATATTGTCACAGTTTTCCTGTTGTTGGAAAAGTAAACATCCATTTATGTCTTTGTTGCTAGAAAAATGTGAAGACACCTAACATTTTTGCAGGTGTGATTTTTCTTGTGTTAGTTTGAAGTTATGCTTCGGTAGAAATAAGAACCATAATAGTTGATTTGATGCAAGGATTTCTAATGGCTGCAAAGTGGGGCTTCTCACTTGTACTAAACTTATTCCTGTTTTCCATTTTGGTTTATGGCTCATAAAAGTTCAATTATATTAAAGGTCTCTGTGATGGGGATTTATTACATGCTGCTCAAAAAAGTTCAATAATATGAATACTGTGTGTGGAAATTATTGACTAATGGGTCTATAGTTATTACTTTTAAATACTTAAGGAAGTTAAGATGGATGAAAACACTAATGAGATTGTGTTTGTTGAAGTGTTGTATAAACAACATCACTAATATCAAATTTTTCCTTTTCCCTTCCCCCTACATTTCGAAGCACCAAATGGGGCCGTTGAGAAAAATGAAAAGATGCTATCTAGAAGTTTATACCAGCATGTCGTAAAACTTGTGGTGTTTACAACATTCAAATTGATTATACTTATCAGATGAATAGTGTATTCTAAAATTATTGATGTTCTCAATTTCTCCATATGCTTGTTGACAGTTTTTATACATTTAAAATGATAATTGGGAAAAGAAATCAAAGCTGATTTTTATCTTTCCAAAGAACTATTATTTCTTTTGACAGAAATACCCTGTGCAAAGTTTAAACACTTGGCAACAAGAAATCTTCAGAAAACTCTTTTATATGGAACAAGCAATACACAATGCAATCGTCATAATTCATGTTGTTATGTTTGATGAAAATTGAAATTGTAATTTTGTGATTTCAACTGATAATATCATTCTTGTCACAGATGAGTCGGCTGAAAAGGAAATGAGAAGGTATATCAAAGCCTCACTCCCAGTTATAGAATACATAGATAAGCTGTGTGTTTCAAGGAATATCAGCTTAGATTGGTAACTTTTTATCCGTTCTGGGGAACTGTTAGATGAGAGGCAGACCTCTTGTGTGCACAGCACAAGCAGACACACAAGCAGACACACCTTACTTAGTTTCTATGAAATCTGGTTCAAACTTTCTCAAATATCAAATGAAATAAAGTTTGTTATTCCCTTGAACTTGTTCATAGCACTTGTTTCCTCATATATGTCTCCTTGTGCATGGCTTCCAAATGATATTACAAATCTAGAGAAAGGTGTTCTCTCATTTGGATCCCAAAGAAGAAAGGTTATTTTTTAATATGGAGTTGTAACAATATGGTATTGAAATTAAGGCATATAAGATTATTACTTCGGATCAAGGGTTCAAATTCAGCATGTCACAGTTGAGGTTGTGGGCTCAAAGTTAAGGTCAGACACTTTGTGCAAATACTGCCAAAAGTTAAGTCTATATCCAATCTACCCGTCCCTAACCCCCATCCAATGGGTACTGAACTGGGCGTACGTTTTTTACTTTGGTTGAAAGGTTTGTTTGGGGGTTTTAAATGTAGCCCCGATATTTTTCATGGTGAATGATCGCTGATAAGTATGGTATGGGAGTTTAAACTTTGCACTTGGACTTCTTGTTATCCTCCAAATCTTATTCATATGATAGATTGTTTAAATTGTTTTTAATTAACTCTGTTTGATTGCCCATTAACTATGTTCCAGTCATTTTCCATTTTGTGGTCTTTTTGTCAACAGTAGATTATCTAAGAAAAAGAATACCTATATTATTTTTCCCTTCTATCTACATTTAAATGAGATATAAGGAGATTATTAGAATTCTTTGATGCATAAGCTGTTCGGTAATTGATATACTTAATTTTGAAGTCATTATTTAAGATTACCTAGATTTCCCTTGCAGGTAAACAAACCATCAGTAATTTTTATTGATGAAATTGATGCATTAGCTACAAGGTATGGGTGTTCCTGTCAGTATCTTCTACATCTCTACTTAATATTGATATGTGATCTTGTTTCTTGATTGATTTCTCAATTCCATCATTTCCATGTAATGAGGATATTATTTGTATACACACACACATGTAGAAGCAAATATGTTTCCTAGGAAATATGCTTCTACACACACATTCAAAGTTCCATCTAATTATTTCTTTCTGCCTTTATTGCATATCCTTAAATTTATAAACATTTGCTAAACCCTAAAGACTTGGCCATATGTCCAATACCCCCTTTTGACGAACTCATCTTAAGACATCAAATATTGGCTTCTTTGCACTTGTCTAATACAAGCAATCAGAGGATGGATGATATGGAGTGGTTTTTTCAGTGTGTTATCTGACTGACATGTACTTTCAAAATTGAAGTTAATTTGTATGATTCAGTTACAACATTTGTTTGGCATTAGTGACAGAAAATTATGGCAGTCAATAAACATGTGTTTTATATACAAGTATTTAGAATAAAATTGGTAAAGTGGATGAGAGGCTGGACAAGAAACAAGAGAATAAGAAATGAATATATTCTTGAGATGTTGGTGGCCTTACCATTTGAGAATAACCTGTGATACTTTTGGCTGAGAAAGTTTAGTATGTGCAAGATAGCGTATTCACTATGCCATTAACAGAGTAACATGGTATGGGTTTTTGGAATTCTAAAAGAGAAGAAATGGTAAAGGGTTATGCGTTGAGTTAGGAAGAACCAAGAAAATAATCGTGGCTCTGACTCATTGAATGGAAAGTTTTCCTCTAATCAGGTAAATAACAAAATGGATTCATGTTGATTACTTCAGGATACTTGATCTTCCTAGTTTTTTTTTAACTTATGATATTTTATTATCATTTCTTGCTTTTTGTTTTAAGTTTTAAATTGCGACATGGTTTTATCCAGCACACTTGGCGTATACTCATTTCTGAGCACTGTTTTAACACTCTGCATATGGATAACAAGAATGACTTCAGTTTATCTTTTTCTTATTATTAGGCGTCAAGGAATATTCAGTGGATCCACCAACGACCTATACAATGCTGCTACTCAAGAAAGGGAGACTACACTGAACCAGCTGTTGATAGAGCTGGATGGGTTTGATACAGGAAAAGGTGTTATCTTTTTGGGTGCTACAAATCGTATGGATTTGTTAGATCCTGCACTTCTTCGACCAGGTCGTTTTGATCGTAAGGTTTGTATCTCTTAATCAACACATAATTAGCTGAGCTGTGTTTCAGCTTTGTTAAATAATGCATTGGTGTTTATGATCATTTCTCACTTTCTCCTGTAGATAAGAATTCGTCCTCCTAATGCAAAAGGGAGATTGGAAATTTTGAAAGTTCATGCACGCAAAGTAAAATTGTCAGATTCTGTTGATTTGTCCATTTATGCCCAGAACTTGCCAGGTATGCAGTTTTTGTTGATCTGTTTTTTGCAATGTAATGCTCTTTATATCCATGGCATTGGCCAAAATATAATTTCTTCAAACAATCTCAAATACCACTTACGTGTAATTGTGTATAATGTTTTTCACTCTAATTGATGGCTCATTCATCAAGTTACACTGAACATGTGAGTTTGGCCTTTTATGTGTGATCAATGATCGGTGATGTCCTTGATGAGTTCGCATTAAGATGGAAAATCTTTATGGTTCTTCCAGGTTTTTGTGAATTATATAGGCATTTATAGAGATTGTATTTGAATGTGTTATTTCAATGTCTGAACTATCATGTACTCATTTATCAGGATGGACGGGAGCAAAGTTGGCTCAGCTGCTCCAAGAGGCTGCTCTTGTGGCGGTAAGGAGGGGGCATAATTCAATTCTTCAGTCAGATGTGGATGATGCAGTTGACCGACTCACAGTAGGACCCAAACGTGTTGGGATAGAGTTGGGTCATCAGGGACAATGTCGTCGAGCTACTACTGAAGTGGGAACTGCAATGACTGCTCATCTGCTAAGGCAGTTAGAGAACGCAAAAGTTGAACGTTGTGATCGCATATCAATTAATCCTCGTGGCCAGGTCCTCTTTGTTACATCCAATTCTTTTCAATCTTTCGTTTTCTCTTATATGTTATGGAAATTGCCCAACTTCTGGCCAAGCAAAAATTAGATGCCGCATGTGCTGGAAACCACTAATTGATGGGCACAGCTAAAGGATATCTATTACAAAATATACACTTTGTTGGACATATCAACTCAATGATATATATTTCATGGTTAGATCATTTGCCATGTTCATTTTGGATAATCTAAACGGATTTAACATTGGCCATTTGGAAGATTGGTGGATGGTTTTTTCCATGTATATGATGTAGTGTTGTTTGCTTTATCACTTGTTTCTTAATGGTTAAAATGATATGCAGACATTGTCTCAAGTTGTTTTTCATAGACTTGATGATGAGTCGTACATGTTTGAGCGCCAACCACAATTGCTGCACCGTCTTCAGGTGTGAACTTTAGCTTTGCAAACTTCATGTTAATTATTTTCTTCTTTCTTTTTTTCTTTTTTGTTTTTTTGTTTTCCTCCCTGAATTCTATTGTATATTTTGCATCTGAGTTCTTTGCAATCTAAAGGTATTACTTGGAGGGAGAGCTGCTGAACAGGTAATTTATGGACGGGATACATCAAGGGCATCAGTTAACTACCTTGCAGATGCTTCTTGGCTTGCTCGTAAAATTATCACAATGTAGGTCTTTCACTTATTCATTGTATTTTAATTTTCTAAGATTACCATTTCAGTTTCATTATTAGTCTTTTCTTATTCCGCCAGATGGAATTTGGAGAATCCTATGGTAATACATGGAGAACCACCTCCTTGGAGAAAAAGAAATAAATTTGTGGGCCCGAGGCTGGACTTTGACGGATCACTGTATGATGACTATGGCCTGATTGAGCCCCCAGTCAATTTCAATTTGGATGATGAAGTTGCGAAAAGGACAGAAGAATTGATGAGTGACATGTATGGAACGACAGTTGCTCTCCTGAGGCGGCACCATGCAGCATTGCTGAAAACTGTGAAGGTAAACAAGACTCCTGGCAAAAAAATCTTGTATTTAAGGGAAGTTTAACGGGGTATGCTGGATTTGCAGTAAAATTTCCTACTTCATATCAGATTACAACTGTCTATTGGGGCATGAAAGTGTATTATGTTTGGGAATGTCTGCTTGAAAACATAAATCGCTAGAATGTGTATCATCATCTGGTAACAGTATTTAGAACCCTAACATGAAGTAGAGCATTTAAAATTATGAAAGAAAAAAAAAACTGTCCTGCCACAGCAGGCAGGCTGCTTCCTTGGCCTCCAGGGCAGGTAGACCTTAGGATGAATTGCTAAAACAAAAGCAAGCATTTGTCAGATATTCAATTTTTTTTTTCTTCCTTTTAAGTGCATCTAATGTTGCATAAAATGATTCTGTAAATTATGTAAGTCCTCAGTGTTTGATTATTACCAGAAAATGAAATATAACTAGAGGGTGCCCCTTGGTATAGGTGTTAATGTTGATGATGTAACGACACTGATGATTGAATTCTGTGGTTCATTTGCATTTGCAGGTTCTTCTTAATCAGAAAGAGATCAGTGGAAAAGAAATTGACTTTATCCTGAACAGTTACCCTCCACATACGCCCACAAGTCGTATACTGGAGGAGAAAGATCCTGGGAGCCTTCCCTTCTTCAAACAAGAACAAGAAAGTCAAGAGTTGGAGTATAGCCTATTGACTCCATGACAAGGCTGAAGCTTGTGATGGATATTTTGATGAGGCTGTTCCAAATTGATACCATTTATTTGAGGTAATGGTGAAAAATTGTAGCAAACCAACATGTAGTAATTTCTGAGATGCCCTTTTGGTGAGTGTGCAAGACAGGCAGCATCCGAAGGCAGTTGTATAGAGTGACATGATCAAATTTTGGGGGTTTCATTGACAAAAAAATATGTAGTGATAGAATTTTTTGGTTTTATAAAGATTCAAAATTGTCGATTTTGTATTGTTTGTGTTGTGTTCTTGAATCAAGCCAAGTATTTATTGGTTATATTGTAATATTTTTATAATTGCTATTCATATGAGGGTTTGCAAACAGTTGTGCTAGCATTTTGGCCAACAAGTAGTATATGTTTGCGCCTAAAAAAAAAACTATATTGTAATATTTTTATAATTGCTATTCATAGGAGGGTTTGCAAACAGTTGTGCTAGCATTTTGGCCAACAAGTAGTATTATGTTTGCGCCTAAAAAAAAACTAGTATATGAAATAATCGGAGATCATCTAATTACATATTGTGAAAGATTAATAAAATATTTTTAAAAAGTTAAGAGGCAATACTGTCGTTATACATTTTATAAATACTTATGAAATGTAGAGACACAAATAATCTAACATTTGATTTCTTTTCGAAAGTTTATATTTAGTTTACATGACATAAATATTGTGTACTCGAATTTTTTATGTTGTTCTGGATAATACTATACTTCAAAAAAAAATATATATTTTACAGGGAAAATCTTCTCACTCGCCTACAGGTTCAAGGCAGCGCCTCTTGCAGAGATCATCAAGGTGTCTTTTTGTCATTTCTATCCTGACCTCATAAGACAAGTTTCGCTTAAGTCAGAATGGTATTCTGTTGTTCATTCTGTTCCAACCTCCTAAGATAAGTTCTGTTTAAGTTAAGACTCGCACAGCGAAGGAGTATTGAACTCACACCAAATGCGATGAAACAGATGAAACTGTTTGAGGCTAACCTCCTAAGCGAGGGAGTATTGAATTCACACCAAATGCGATAAAACTGATGAAACTGCTTGAGGCTAACCTCTTAAGTGAGGGAGTATTGAATTAACACTATGTGCGATGAAACTGCTTGAGGCTAACCTCCTAAGCAAGGGAGTATTAAACCAACACCAAGTGCGATAAAACTACTTGAGGTTAACCTTCTAATGAATATAAAACCCACACCAAGTGGGATAAAACTGCTTGAGGCTAACCTTCTAATGAGTATTAAACCCATACCAAGTGGGATAAAACTGCTTGAGGCTAACCTCTTAAGCGATGGAATATTGAACCCATACTAGGTGTAATAAAACTGCTTGAGACTAACCTTCTAATCAACTGTGTTACGTCTAGGAGATTGGTCCAAGTAGATTTTAAACCTAGAACTTGGGGGCTTAAACACCATGTCTTTGCCAAGTTGCCAACTACCTTGGTTGGCCAAATTATTTTCTTACCAAGAATATTCTTAGGTTGTGTTTGGTTAGGGGTTTGAAAAAAAAAAATAAATAAATAAATAAAAAAAAAAATATATATATATATATTTCATTTAAATTCAGTCAAAAAGTTAACCCAAACATCCATATTTTCAATCTTAATTTTTTAATTTAAAAAGGCAAAAAGTACACTTATTTAATACAATCCAAACAACTCCGGAATCGCTCTCAAATTTCCAACCAAACACCAGCCTTATAATAATCGATCCATGCATTAGAATGTAATGACATTTGTGGGGTGAGACCGTGCCCAATTAGGAGTGAGCAGATCATTTGATTGGGTACCAAACCCAGAATTTTTTCGCAAAATCCATACCCAACCCAAAACGAAGCCGAACACCCAAAACGCAACCCAGTTCTTCATTAGGATTGATTGATTGATTTCTCTAGGGAAGTTCTTCTCATTCTCTACATACTATTGACGATGAAAGATGAAGAAACATCGAGCCGATGACTCCATAAGTATTCAATGTCGAAACTACAACCACAGAAAAGGCTTTTTTGAGCTCTCTTTGCCTTTGATTTTTTCATTTTGGTGTCTTGTGTTCTTGTTCTACTCTAAACTCGGCCTTACTCATGGAAATGAAGGTAATTTCTCATCCATTTATGCTTTTTTGGTCCTTCCTTCCCATATCCATTTCTCAATTTCGGTTTTTTAGCAAACCCTTTTTGTGTTTCATAAATATGATGATATGTAATATAATCAACAATACACTTGTTTGTTTATAAATTATGAAGCCTCAAGTAATTGTGAATTGTTTCTTTTGGTTCTGGTTTAATGATTTCAAGTGCCATATCATCCTCAAAATGTTCCTTTCTAGTTGTTCCTTGATTTCTTGAATTTCTGCTACCATATTTGTCCTTTTTGTTGTTTCTTCATTAGGCCATACCCTTTAAAAGCTTCACTAATAGCTTTGAAATGTTTGAGTAAACATTTGAGTCTCCTTTGCTTTGGGTAAAAAATTGAGTAAAACTCAATTTGATATAAGTTTGGGTCAAGGAGTGGAGTGTGTTTTTGAGTATTTTTACCCAAATTTAAATTTGATTTAGGTTTGAGTCAAGCATTGGAGATGCCCTTAGCTAAGTTGTTTTGCGGTTATTAACACCTTACTTGTAGGTTAACGTAAGTGTTAAATTATGTATTCACTGCAATTAAATGAATTTATCAATGGTTATGATGTAAAATGGTTTTTGGATGAGAAAAGAAACCTTGTGGAGTTGTGTTTGTAAACCCGAACATCAGAGTTAGGCTAATTTCCTTATTTGGTTCTTATAGTATGTTGTGTTGATTTGAATGTATCTTATGCAGGGAATTTGCATGCTGATAATAGAAGCATGAACAACTCTAGTGTTTGTGAGGATAAGCTGTGCAACTCTGCTTATTCACTTGTTGAAAATGTAAACAACAGTTATATAAGTGGCGTGCAGTCAGAGTTTAATGCATCTACGACTAGAAATAACACTTATGTTCATGGTAACCACTATGCAAATCCTTACACACTTCAGGGAACAAGTGAATTGGAGGAAGCCATCTGGTGTGTTTTAGGTTACACTCCATTAGTGTGTGGATTACAACCACAAGAACAACAAAAGGAAAAGACAGCAGAGCAACTACAGAATGGGAGAACTCATTCGGCTTACCTTAATTTAGATGAGTTTCGAAATATTACAAAGAAAGAGAAGGGTGGGACTGCAGCAAGTCGGCTTGTTAATATCACACGCCGGCTTGAGCCTGATGGGACGGAATACAACTATGCCTCGGCTGCTAAGGGTGCAAAGGTGGTGGCCCATAATAAGGAAGCAAAAGGTGCAAGCAACATATTAGGGAAGGATCATGATAAATATCTAAGGAACCCTTGTTCTGTTGGGGAAAAGTTTGTCGTCATTGAGCTTGCTGAGGAAACCTTGGTTGATGGAGTCAAAATTGCAAATTTTGAGCACTATTCTTCTAACTTCAAGGAATTTGAGTTGTGGGGGAGTTTGATTTATCCAACTGAGACATGGTCTCCATTTGGAAATTTTGTTGCTGCAAATGTTAAGCATGCTCAAAACTTTAAACTGCCTGAACCCAAGTGGGTTAGGTACTTGAAGTTGAATTTACTAAGTCATTATGGGTCAGAATTTTACTGCACGCTGAGTGTTGTGGAGGTATATGGCATTGATGCAATCGAGCGGATGCTTGAAGATCTAATAGTGACTTCTGGGGAATCTACAACCAATAATTTGCCCGATCCTAATTCAATTGCAACACCTCCGTTAATACCAGAACCAGGTCCCAGTGACCTGAGAATAGATGGTGAAGTTCGAAATGTGATTGAGGCTGCCAGTGAAGGGATAGAAGGCATCGACAATGGGCAAAGGCCTAATGTAGACGTGCTTCCCTTGACCGCAAGTAACATTCCTGATCCAGTAATGGAAGTTAGACAACAACCAAATGGAAGAATACATGCTGACGCTGTTCTTAAGATCTTGATGCAGAAGGTAAAGTCACTTGAGCTGAACTTGTCTGTGTTGGAGGAGTACATCAAAGAACTGAACCGAAGACAAGGGGATGTTGTGCCCAAGCTTGACAGAGAGCTATCTAGATATTCAATGCTTGTAGAGAAAACCAAAGCAGAAATCAAGAATCTCTTGGAATGGAAGGAGGATATGGTATGTTGATCTGTGAACTGTTCCAAATGAGATGAGTTTTATAAATGTACTTGACTCTGGCATTCATTTATTTTTCAGGAGAAAGAAGTTACTGACTTTGAGTCATGGAAAGATGTTGTCTCATCCCAAATAGATGCATTGGTCAGAGAAAATGGCATGCTAAGGTCAGCAATTTGTCTAACCTATAATTATTATTGTTCACATCTTTTCTGTTCATTTTCAACAGTTCTCATTCCTGAATACTGCTCTTATGATTGGTTGAACTTATTAGGTATCTGTTTATTTTGTTTCCTTCTTTCATTTACTTGGACGGTCAACTCTAACTATCTAATGTTGAATTACAGACTACCGCTGCTATTGATTTTTTAATGAGAAAATTGAGTATATTTACTTGATTAAATGAGGATTTTCTAGCAGTATCCAAGATTGTGTGATCCAAAAGTCAAATGTCATATCATAGGTTATGTTATGTATTGGATGAATGCAAAAATATATGTTGTATGGTTTAGATATATATGACTTTTGTTTTTTGAAACAAAATTAAGAACTGTGTTCAAGATTTCTAGAGCCTACATAACATACTATGTACGGTCTTAAAGTCAACATGGAGGGAAAGTTGAATAGGTCTTGTGAAATTTGGTACAATTCAGTTTTATATTTCTAATATTGTGTAGATTGTCTGTCTATATTCTATTTCTTTATACAAAAAAAAAAATACAAACTAGGGTCCATTTAATAAGATATTATGTATTTATAAATAGCCCATAAACACATCTTATAGTTTACAATGGTGACTCTATGTAATAGGAATATTAAACAGTTTCTTGATCCACTTTTACTTTGTTTACCTTGTTTGAGGATTTAAGTTTTCGTGACCTTACAACATTTGAGGTGTCAAGAAGATAGAATGCTGCTAGTTGTGAAGTGAACATAAAGGTGTATAATGTATCATAATTGAAAGGCACGAAAAGATAAATGAAAAAAATTGTTTGTTGATGATCTCTATTGTTCTGCAATGCAAATTAAGGTTGATATTCTCTATATGTTGAAGTATGTATTGTTAGAATAGGAAACAAGTTAGAATAGGAAATATGTGATTGTATTTTCTTCTTCTTTATTCCCTTGATTGGTGTGATGGGTTGACCCATATATTATGCCTTATGACACTCCTATAATTACTCCGTATTAGTAATATGAAAGGGAATGAAGTCTACCTTATTCCTTAACTCTTTCTCTTCGTTAAACCTACATGGTATTAGAGCTAGTGGGAGAAACCTAAGCACATCCACTTTCTTCCACCGCAGGACTGCCCAGACCCTTGCCTGGGAGGCTGGGACAGTCGACCCCCCACCCAGGCCAACTGAAGGAAGTTTCTGGCCATTCTGCCCTTACCCAATTAAGAAGAAGGTCAGTTGGCTCTTCCCCAGGCCAGCCGAAGCTTCCTCTGTCCTCCTCTAGGTCTGTCGGCAGTCCTAGCTTGTCATCCTAGGCCTGTCGGCAAACTTGGAGGCCCTTTCTGTCTCTCGCTAGGCCAATCAGCCGCTCCTGGTTGGTCGACGGGGCCTTCAATTGCCTTCGTTGACTACTACCTCATCAGTTTGAGTGCTTTTCTTCTTCGTTTTTCGTTTTTCTCTGTATTTCTTCTCTTTTAAAACAAAAGAAAAAAAAAAGGGGGGCAGTAAGGAAAAAAAAAAAATACAGTAAAAAAAAAAAAAACCTTAATTCTTTATGCTTTCATAGGCGTAGTAGTGTCTTTCCTTCCACTATTATCTTCTGGGTTTGTGATTGGCATTGTGTTTGAGGGTTAAATAGTAGAGTCTCCATGGCAGATTCCCTTAGTGAGTTCACTACTTCTCAGTCACCTAAGAGCGAGAGTACCATTATTCCTACTACTATGACTGATAACCCCAACCATGGTCTTAAGATCACCACCTCTCTATTTAATGGTCAGAATTATCTAGCCTGGTCGCAGAGTCTGACTATTTTTTTGAAGAGCGGAGGGAAGATGGGGTATGTTGATGGACGGATACAGACACCGAGTACCACGGATTCTAGTTATGACCAGTGGGAAATCACCTACTCCTTAATCATAGGTTGGTTGATCCATTCTATGGTACCTAAGATTGGAGAGGGCTACTTGTCTTTGGACACTACCTAGGATATTTGAGAGGCTATAGCTACTACTTACTTCAGGAAGGGAAACTTCTCACAGGCTTTCGAGTTACGTTGCTCCATTGAAAGGTTGGTACAAGGTGAGATAACTATCCTCCAGTATTTTACCTTCCTTAGCAATGGGTGGAAGTGGCTTGATCACCTTCAGGATTACAAGCCTATCTGTCTCATTGATTCTAGTGGTTACCGGAAGTTTGTGGCGCAAGAATGGGTCTTCAAATTCTTAGAAGGCCTAAATGTGGAGTATGATCCGCTTCGGAGTAGGGTACTTGGCATGGATGTGCTTCCTTCTCTTCAAAAAGCCTTTGCTTTTGTGTATAATGAGGAGAGTCACCGCTCTAACAAGCTTCCTTCTGCTACTATTAATCGCTCGGCCTTGGTTTCTGCCCTCCCTCCCAATGGCGACCGTGTGACTCGTGGTTCTCGTCTTTCCTCTGAGAAGGATAATCTTTTTGTGACTACTGCCGTAGGCCTTGTTACACCTGAAAGACTTGTTGGAAGCTGCATGGGACTCCTTTTTGGTGGCCGCGAAGATCGTCCTGGTACTCGAGGGGGGCAGTCTGGTCCGTCTAGAGGCCGAGGGGCCAATGCTCGAGTCCATCTTTCAGACACGGTGGAGCTACCATCTTCCTCTCCAGTTGTCTCACCTGCTATTGATGTTTCGGTGTTATCTACCTCGGATTTTGAGATTGCTCTTCGCCACTTGCTAGACTATCAGGCTTCCACTTCTGCTACAGGTGCGCCCTCTTCTTCCTTTGCCAATTCAAGTAACTTGGCTTCCTCCCCATGTGCATTGCTATCTTATACGACTGTATTATGGATTATTGATTCTGGTGCTTCTGATCATATGTTTGGCTCCTCTAATTTATTCTTAGGTATAACCCCTCCTCAAGTCAGGAAAAAGTGTGTGCTGCTGATGGTACTATTTCGTTTGTGTCAGGGAAATGTTTAATTCATGCCACCTCTTCCCTTTTTTTGTCCTCTGTCCTCTGTCCTTCGTGTTTCCAATTTTAGTGTTAATCTTTTATCTTTGAGTCGCCTTTATTTGTGATTTAAATTGTAGCGTGACGTTTTTTTTCCTGATCATTGTCTTTTTCAGGATCTTATCATGAAGAAGAGCATTGGCAGTGGTAGAGAGGAACACGGCCTCTACATTCTAGATAAGACGAACAAGCTGACTCATTCATTTATTCAGTTACCATCCACCAAGGAAGACATTTGATTGTGGCACTGTCGCTTAGGACATCTCTTTTTTTTATTACTTAAGCATTTGTTTCCTTTCGTTTTTGAGAAAAATAATGTGTTAGATTTTCAATGTGAGTCTTGTCAACTTGGAAAATAACACAGAGCTTCTTTTGTTCCTTCTATTATAAAAGTTTAGTTCCATTTACTTTGATTCATTCTGATGTATGGGGTCCATCCCGTTTTGTGTCTTTAACCGATCAGAAATGGTTTGTTACCTTTATAGATGATTGTTCCAGGGCCACTTGGGTCTATTTTCAAAACTTCCATAAAATGGTTTGTAAAATTCTATATTCTGATAATGGGGGGATACATTGACTCTGGTCTTGCCAGTTACTTTGCCTGTCACTCATGACATTATTCACTAGACTTTATGCACTAATACCCCTTAACAAAATGGTGTTGCAGAATGCAAAAATCGCCATCTTCTTGATATCGCCTGTTGTCCATCCTTTGAGATGCGGGTTTCTCGATCCTATTGGGGGGAAGCGGTTCTCACTGCCGCTTATTTGATTAATCGTCTTTCTACCCAAGTCCTTAAAAAACAAACACCTCTTCAAGTTTTGTTCGGGTCTACCCCTTCCGGGTTCTCCATTCCTCCTAAGACTTTTGGCTGTGTTTGCTTTGTCCATAATCATTCACCCACTCGTGGTAAATTGGATTCTAAGTCTTTTAAGTGTGTTTTCCTGGGTTATTCTGCCACCAAAAAGGGTTATAAGTGTTATCATCCTCCCACTTGCAAATGGTTTATCTTTATGGATGTCACTTTCTTTGAGTCTCAGCCTTATTTTCCGGCCCCTCCGTTCTCACAGTCATCCCTTTAGGGGGAGCCTTGGTGTGAAGAGATTCCTGTTCCACTTCCGCCAATGGTTGAACAGATAGAGGATGATGAGCCAACAGTTGTTGCAGAAAAGGAAGCAGGCTAAGTTTATATTAGGGACAAGGATAGACAGCAAGCCACCTAGATGCAAGAGATTACTTTTCTTCCTCTACTGTCAACTTCTTCTCCGGATGAGCGTCCAGAGCAAGGTTTTAAAAAGCGGCCGCAACCGTTACGTAACGCCGTTACGTAACAGTTTTGGCGGTTACCGCTACCCGTTACGGCCGCTTTTGCAGTGTGATTGAGATTCACAGGTGTGTCGGCCGTAGCGGCTGCCGTAGCGGTCGTAACGGTGCCGTAACAGCCGTAACGGCCTGTTACGCACCGTTACGTAACGGTTCCAAACTGTTTGTTTCGAAAAAACATACAAAAAAAAGCTGAAAATGGGGAAAGAGGGATAGAGAGAAGAGAGAAGATAAAGAGAGAAAATGGAGGAGCAAGAGATAGAGAGAGAAGAGGGTAGAGGGAAGATGAAGGACATGTTATTGATTTGTTGAAGTTGTAAGACCTATGCTATTCTATTCAGCTGCTATCACTAAACTATTTTGTTTGTGTGTGTCTATTTATATATTGTTCGAAAATAATAATAATAATAAGTGTGGTCATTATCTATTTGGCTTGGTTAAAATATGTATATATATATATATATATATATTTACGCTTTTATTTATTCTCTTACTTTTGTTATTGTTTATCTTATATGTAATAGTTAGTGATTGATTTTTTGTATAATATAAAGTTATTAATTATTAAAATAAAATATAAAAAACTCAATTTATAGTGATTTAAAAATATGAAATATATTGGATTATACTTAAAAATTTACAAAAATTGATCAATATTTATTTTTAACCCAATAAATATGATTATGGAAAAAAAATATGCGTATTGGTAAGTTTTTTTCAAATTGTGCGAAAAATAAAAAAATTCACGATTCCAGTTACCGCAACCGTTACACTACGGCCTTTACACCCCGCAACCGCAACCGCAACCGCGTCACCGCCACCGTTACGGCGACTGCAACCGTTTTTCAGAACCTTGGTCCAGAGTCACCCACCTCTCCTGAGAGTCCAAGTAATTCTGATTCCAGTGCTTTTATTCTTGGTTTTTTAGATCTTGATGTTCCCATTGCTAATAGAAAGGGGGTTAGGTCATGTACTCAGCATCCTATTAGTAATCATGTCTCTCATTCTCATCTGTCTTTCTCATATAAAGTTTTTCTGTCTAAAGTGTCTTTTGTGAGTTTACCTACCAATTTTTAGGATGCTCTCTCTATTCCTGAATGGAAACATACCATGATGGAAGAGATGAGAGCTTTCAGCAAGAATGGCACTTAGGAGTTAGTGAAGTTACCTAGAGGCAAAAATCCAGTTGGGTGTAAGTGGGTGTACATGGTAAAACACAAAGTAGATGGTTCGATAGAACGATACAAAGTACGACTGGTTGCTAAGGGCTTCACTCAGACTTATGGGGTGGATTATCAAGAGACATTTGCACGGGTTGTTATACTCTCTCTTGCTGCAAATTTGGATTTGCCACTTCATCAGTTTGATGTGAAGAATGCCTTCCTTTATGGAGACCTAGCAGAAAAGGTCTATATAGATATTCCTCCTGGTTTTGCGGATTCTAAGTCCAACGGTAAAGTATGTAGACTCCGAAAGTCACTTTATGGGCTAAAGAAGTCTCCTAGGGCTTGGTTTGAAAGGTTTGCTATGCTGAAATATGGGTTCAAGCAAAGTTAAGCTGATCACACATTGTTTGTGAAACACTCCTCACATGGTAAGACCATAGCTCTTATTGTTTATGTTGATGATATTGTTCTGACAAGAGATGATGTTGAGGAGATTCCTCGTTTGAAAGAATACTAAGCCAAATAGTTTGAAATCAAAGACTTAGGCTATTTGAAGTATTTTTTGGGCATTGAAGTAGTTCGGTCTAAGGATGGCATCTTCATATGCCAGAGGAAGTATGTACTTGACTTGCTAAAGAAAACTGGAATGCTTGGAGGTAGACCAGGGGACAAGGGGAGATACTAGAGACTAATTGGCAAGCTCATATACTTATCTTACTCACATGCAGACATTGCCATTGCCGTGAGCATGGTGAGCCAGTTTATGCATGCTCTTAGAACTTCCCGCTTGGAGGCAGTTATGAGAATCCTGAGATACCCGAAGTCTTCTCTTGGAAAGGGTCTCTATTTCTCAAAATATGGCCATCTCAGTGTGGAGGCATTTACTGATGCAGATTGGACTAGATCAGTCATTGACAGACGATCAACTTTTAGATACTGCACATTTGTGGGTGGCAACCTAGTAACATGGCGAAGTAAGAAACAGAATGTGGTGGTTAGATCTAGTATTGAAGCAGAATTCAGGACTATGGCTCAGGGTGTATGTGAGTTATTATGGATTAAACTATTGTTGGGAGACTTAAGAATACATCAGATTGACTCCGTGAGACTATACTGTGACAACAAGGCCGCAATCAACATAGCTCATAACCCAGTTCAACATGATAGAACTAAGCATGTGGAGATTGATAGGCACTTTATCAAGGAAAAACTCACTAGTGGCATTATATGTATTCCATTTGTGAAGACTGGAGACCAACAAGCCGATGTTCTCACCAAGGGGCTAGAGAGCAAACCATTTCATGGCATTCTCAACAAGCTGGGCATGAGAGATATCTTCACACCAGCTTGAAGGGGAGTGTTAGAATAGGAAATATGTGATTGTATTTTCTTCTTCTTTATGCCCTTGATTGGTGTAATGGGTTGACCTATATATTATGCCTTATGGCACTCTTGTAATTAATCAGTATTAGTAATATAAAAGGGAATAAAGTCTACCTCATTCCCTAGCTCTCTCTTCTTTAAACCTACATGTATCACTTTATCCTCCAGATTTTAGTGAGCTTCCAGCTGTTTGAGTGAGAATCATGCAGCAAGCTTCAAGTGAAAGCATAAAATGATCTAAATTGGACATAATTTGAAAGAACTTTTATATGGTGACACTAGGTTGCACCAGATTAGATGGAATTGTTTGTGAGGAACTATAAATTTTAAATATGTAGGAATATTTAGGAAAATTCAGATGGTGGATACTCTTTTTTGGTCAAATTATTTACACAATCATCATCATCATCATCATCATCATCATCATCATCGTAATCGTCTTCGTTATTATTTAAACTTTTTCTCCTTTGCATTAAGAATTGAACACACAGGCTCGCCCCCACCCTATTTGTCAGATTTTTTTTAAATTATTTTGGGTAAATTACACTTATACCCCCTAAGATTTGGGTTTAATACATATCACCCCTTGACGTTTGAAAAATTACACTAACCCCCTGTCATTGTAATTATTTAGATAGAATGAAAACATTGAACTCATGCACTCTCTCTCTTTTTTGCTTTGCTTTACTTCTTCCGTTTTTTTTCCCTTCCCTTCCCTTTGCTTTACTTTTTTTTTTTTCAATGTAATTTACTTTGTTTTTCTACGAGGAGTTGTTGCTTTTTATATTTTATATAAGTAGGAGGATTTGTGAAATGAGATTATTAACTACAGGGGTGGGAATGTAATTTACAGAACGTCAGTGAGTGGAATGTAATTGGACCAAACCTCAGTGAGTGTCAGTGTAATTTACCCTTCCTTTTTTTTTTGAGTAAATACCATATTTTATTTCTTTCTTTTTTTAAATTTGTTTCTGCAGATTAGATGTTGAAAAGGTTGTAAGTGATCAAGCAAGCCTAGAAAAGAAAGAGATTGTTGTGCTAGCAGTGAGCGTTTTCTTTGGATTTCTTGCAATTCTCAAGTTAGCTACTGCACAAGTCTTGATGTTTTTTGGAGCCCCTCTATCCAATAACATATGCCGGACAAGTAGAGGTTGGATTTTGATACTTGTTAGCAGCAGCATAACCATATTCATTACCTTACTCTGTAGCTAGTCTCTGCACATGTATGCTCCATGAGAATTGGATGCTTTATTATTAGCATTCATCCCTTTGTAATTATGGCTTTTATAGGATAGGAATTGGAGCACGTCCAACACTTCAGTTTAGTGGTTAGTAGAGATTATACCATTCGGAAATTGGCAAATATGGTTGTATAGTTGGATTTAGATTGAGGAGATCAAATTACTTCTTGATAGTTAGTTCCCTTTCTGGGTTCTACGTCGACATTTGGGGACATGGTAGTATCCATTCTAGGACAACTTGTGTATGAGCTACTTGTTAGCTATTAATATGATATATTGATTACTGGCCATGTTAGTGCCCTTCTTTGGAAGAACCGGAGAAAATATTTTGGTGATTGTTCATATACATATTTTGTGTGTCTTTTAGTTTTTTGTTTAAATAGTAATTGAATCATGAAGTATGGAAAATATTTTGGAAACTTGAGTCTTGAGAAGTGCATTAGAAGGTCAACTTATGAATGTCAGCACATAATTTTCATGGCATCGATGAAGCATAAACGTTTGGATATGCAGCTTGTTCCGTGTTGTCTGGACTTGGGAGCATGAACAAACAGGTCAGGATAAATTGAATGTATTTCGATTCAGGTTATGTCAATCTCATTTCCACTGTTCTGCTCTCTGGACACATGGACCAGCATTGAAAAATCTGAACAGATGATTATTATCAGAGTAGAATTGTTCATGGATATGAAATTGCCTCATAATTGTAATTTATTGAATGGATGATTCATCTATTATCATGCACATGTTCAAAGGAGGGAAACCATTTGGGCTATTTGCTATCTGGAAGAAAATTAATGTCAAGCTGATTTTTTTGTATCAGCTATATGTGATTTAATTACATTATTAAGGTTGAATATTGACAAGCTTCTATCTATCGTTTGGATTGGATGATTTAGAGAGAAAAAAAAAAAAAAAAGATTCTCTTTGCACTAATCTATTGTTTGGATAGCTTGATTGGAGAAAAATGGAAAGAAAACAAAGTACCTTATGACTCGGTTCCTGCATCTCTAAATGGAGAGATTTGGACAAAAAGGAAATATGAATTAGTAATTACAAGTGTTTTCCGCGACTTTTGGCAAGTGAATTTTGTTTTTGCCTCTCTTATGCGTAGCAAAACTTAAAATTCGTTTTCTTTTTGGTCATTTGTCTTTCCCACACAAGAAGAATGTGTAGCACACCCATCTTTTCTTTCTCTTCTAAATTATTCAAACAAGAAGGAAATATATCACTAATCAAATGGTTTTTCAATCTAAATCGTTTCCAACAATCTCTCTCTCTCTCTCTCTCTCTCTCTCATTGTTGTGAATATTTGCAAACTGTGACATAGGAAGCAGTTTGGGCTCATGGGGAGCTAAGGAGTTGCTAGTCCAATCATCTCTCATGGAACTTCCCTCCTTTCTGCAATCCTCTTTCTCTCGGCCACCATTACTATTACTACCACTTCTCTTTAAAATTCGGACTGCCAAAGACACACATATGAAGAAGAGAGGGAGAAAAAGAAATTAAGAAAAGAAAAAAGATATAGAAGAAGGAAAAAAAAGAAAAAGAAAAAAGAAGTAAAACGAGATTATAAAGAAATAAAAGAAAAGGAAGGGTATTGAGAGATGAGGGGCGGATGGCGTGATGGGAAAGTGGTATATGTGGTGTTCACGTAGAGGTGCCGACATTACAAGAAGGGAGTTGCATATTTTTCTTTTTAGTTATCTTTAATTGTAATTATAGTAAAATTATGATAAAATTTTAATTGTAGACTAAAAAAAAAGGTGTGTACAATTAAAAGCTACCACATTGTGGTCCCCTTCTAGTAAAATCAATATTTCCCGTTAAAAAAAAAAAAAAAAAAATTTCTCTTCAATATAATGTTTGTTTATTCTCATGAAATAAAAATTGTTTAAATAGATTTAAAAAATTAAGAGAAATTTATTTTTATTTTTTAATTGTCATTTTCTCGCAAGCTCCACCAAACAACCCCTTAACCCAACTAGTTCTTCTACACAAACAGTTACAAGTCACAAACTACGCCTCTCTCTCTCTCTCTCTCTGCAAATCCCTCGCAGACGAGTGCGTTAGGGTTTCAAAAAACCATCAACATCAAGAAGAGAGAGTCTCGTGCATAGAGGTAAGAAGAGCTAAAACCCTAGCTTCTGTTTTTTCACTTGAACATCGTCATTCTGTTATCGTGGAACGCATAGCACTAGATTCCTAGGGTTTTTCATGTTCTGCGACGTTTTCATGTCTTATCAATGGAGATTGCCTCTATCTTCTCCGGCGATTTCTCATCTCCGTCGTTCTTCGCTTGCCTAGTAATCACCACACTCTGTTGCTTGTTCGCTCTCTTCGCCGTCCGATTAAAATCCAAGTCAGTCCAATCAGACGGCACTTCATTGAAGAGAGCTTGTAATTGTGCCTGTTCCTGTAAAGGTGGTGTGGCGGCGGCGACAACGGCGACGGCGGAGGCATATTTGAACGGAGGTATTGATAGTGGCGGAGGGGATATGTTAGATAGGGCGCCGGTGGTGGTGGCGGCGGAGCGGCAGACAGGTGCGTCTATGATGGAGCAGTTGGTTCCGGAAATCACAACCCACGCTCTCAGTTACCTGGATTATCCCAGTCTGTGCCGGCTTTCAATGACGAATTCTTTGATGAGGAAGGCTGCCAATGATGATAATGCATGGAAAGCCCTCTATCACAAGGTATCTTAATGTTTGAAGCATTTTGGGAATTAAAGGTTTTAGTTTTATGCATTAATCTATTTTGAGTTTTGTTAATTAATGCTTTCAAGTTGCCCAATTTTTAATTTTGAGAGTACTGGAAACTTGAGCATTGCCACTTGGATGAGCCAGTTCACTGAATAGTCATGATTCATGATTCATGAAAATGGATGAACAAACCTTTTAAGAAATTTAAAACTTAAATTAGGCGAAGTATATTTGATGGGCTTGGAGCCGAGGGAGGGCGTTATTCTTTAATTTTGGGAATACTGGAAACTTGAGCATTGTCACTAGGCTGAGCCAGGTCACTGAATAGTCGTGACTCATGAAAATTGCTGAACTAACCTTTTAAGAAATCCAAAAATTAAATTTGGGTTTGGAGTTTTTTTAAGGCAAGTATATGGGATGCGCTTGGACTTGAGGGAGGGTATTATTCTTATTTTAATTTGTTAAGAAAAAGGGGGACCAGTAATGGTCCTGCATGATAACTTTGTTAATATGTATGTGTGTTGGATATCTTTGGTATGTGCAATAAGTGATTTATAGTATGTCAAATGCTTTGTCATTAGGCTTCTGTTGAGAATTTTTTGCATCTTGTTTGTGCTAACTGGTAAAGTAATCAAAGAAATAAAATATTGTTGTAAGAGTTGTGTGACGTTTAGGATTTCACAATCCACAGTTCATATTGTGCGTCATCTCATCTGTTTTCACATGATGACATGACACACACAATAATATTGAGTTAAGGGTGATATACTGAGCCATGCTATTCTGACTTTTGGATTTGGACTTCTTGGTTGTAAATTTGATTGAAAAATTGTAACTGCCTCTCTTCATAAGTTTTTCTTTCATTTGTTACAAATTGCTTCATAAATTAGCCTCTATTTATATTCCTTTTGGGTGTTGAACTGTACCTTTATATTTTCCTCTATGTTTCTGTAGGATTTCACATTGGAACAGGATAACGTAACACCTGTTAATGGATGGAAGGCTTACTATGCTGCTACACGAGCTATTATGAATTTCAATGCAGATTTTTTTACCATCATTAGAGAAAGATCAGTTCAAGCAATGGGTCGTCTTTGGCTTAATGCAGACTATGTGAAGTGTTTTCATGCCTCAGGAGAGGTCTTTACAGGGTATGATGCTAGTTATCTGTTTATGCTATCTGTAAAAGTTTCATTTCTAGTTTTTCTGATTGGAATAGCTTCGTACTTCACATTTATTCAGTTTGAGTTTATTTAACATGCTTGTGATATTAGCCGAGGATCTGAAGAAACTTCAGTGCTAAATTAAACTGTACAAAGCCTTCTATGGGCTTGCCTCCACTGTTGATACTTTAAAAAAATAAAATAAAATAAAAATAGAGACCCGTCCCTCGAAGTTGATATTGTGAAATAGAGTGCAGATCTATTCCCTCTTGCTTCTTGAAGAACATAACATTTTTTTCATTGCCTGATTTTTGGTTCCTGAACTTATGAATAGTGTGAATATTAGGCATTGAATTTATGGACCTAGTTTGCAGGATTCTACTTTAATTGGAGAAAAGAATAACAGCTCCATGATAACTAGAGTTCTGCTCGTGTAAGTTGAATCTTGAGTTGATTTTGTTACTTATTATTTACTTGATGGTAGTGGAGGAAATGGAGTTCGTAAACTAGGATTTGATGAAAGGTATGATTTCTGTGTTACTTTGTTTGTAGTACACTTCTAGGAGGGCAAAAAGCTGGGAATGTTCTTATACATATAGGTGGTTTGTACATGGAAGGTCACATGTTCTTTTAAGGGCTGCTGCATTGCTATTGGTTGAAGCATGTTAGGCAGGTTGCAGGCATAAAAAAGAGGAGGCCTAGATGACCGTGCTCCCAGTGGAAGCATGTGAGGTGGTTTAGTGAGGAGGACACACTGTCTGCATTTAGGAGATCTTTAGTTCAAGATACTTCTTCTCTATGAGGGAGGCTTTAGGTACCTTTGCATTACAATTGCCAAATTTAGGTTTGATGGTGATATAGATGAGTAAGGTTAGATTAAAAATTAGGAATGCCAGTCTTGATTAAGCGTACATTAAAGACATAATTCTGGATATATCTTCTCTTTCCTAATGTAGTACCTTTTTACGAACTGTACAGCGTAAATTGAGAATTTTTGTTGTCTACAGAAAGTAACCAAGAATTGTTCTCATATCAATGTGTACTCAAGTTATTAGTGACTTTAGTTGTGGAAACTCTACGGTTCATTTATTTGTTGGTAAAGCATTCACTATTTGGAGATGTAACAACATAAACCAGATCTTTCATGTATTCAAAGGCAGTAGTGAAAACTTCTTAGTTTTAGTTTTGTTGTAACTTTTCACACAAATCACATGTGTGTGGATCCCACTCCCATGTAAGAGGTTTGGTAGAATATTTGATAATTCAATCGGGGTCTATAGCATCGCGGTCTATAGCATCTTCCTTTGCGATTTGCAATATTGTTGGCTTTGTTTTAATGACATACTAAAGTTACTTTTAATGTTATTATTGTTTAAACTTTGTTAGCATTTGTTGTTTGCCTTAGCTTTTGCTTCTCATGTTTGAACAGAATAAACCGTAGACTTATCATTTTGATTTTGATTTTACATGCAGTTATAATGCGGTAATGGAGAGCTGGCAGATTGCGTTTAATTGGGAACAAGGTGTTGACTTCCAGGTTCGGGATGTAAGGGCACGGGTACTGACAGACATGGCTTGGGTTACCATGAAAACCTACGTTGACATGGAGACTGGGCCATTTAATGTGACTAATGTTTTCGAGTACCATAATGGTCGGTGGTACATGGTGCATCATCACAGCTCTCCAATGCTAATTGATGGAGTTGGCGAACAACAAATTGTGCAGGGTTAAGGGGGGGAAAAACAAAGAAGAGATAAATGACAGTGATATAACTATAATTACTACAAAATGATATAGCCGTATCTGTTATTAGGTCTGTGGAGTTCAGAATTTTTTCTATGATTTTTGTTTGGAAGATCTTGTGTAATCTTTCTTTCCAATCTCAGTTTTGGGCTGTTCGCTGGTGAAGAGGCTGTCTATTTTTGCTTTTTTAATTCATCTTTTTTCCCCCTCCATTTATTTCAAATTTTTTTTTTCTTCTTGGTTTTGTATATTCTTGCATCTCGTCTCTCTCTTGAGTTTTGATTCACTGTTTTTTTGGATGAAATAATTATGTCACAGGATTGAGCAAAGTATAAAAAAGCTTCAATTGTGAATCTAAGCCGTGTGTTTTCGCATTGAGTTATGCTAAATGTTACACAACCGAAGACCAAGAAGAGTGAAGAGCCTATCTTCCAAGTTCCAACTATTGACACTACCATGAGTCAACTAAAATACCCACTTTTCCTATTTCTCTGGAAAAGCGACAATGATTGCTTGATGAGCTCCCCAAATTAAAATGCTAACAAAGCATGGTCCCATGATTGTAAGAAAAATTGGTCGAAAATGAATCAGTTGTGTGAGACTCGTCGAAATTTTAATTTAATTTATTTAATATTTTAGTTCTTAAAGTATTAGAAGATAAGTAATTGATTAAAGTATTAGAAGATAAGTAATTGATGTTGTTTGTTTTGCAGTAAAAGTTTAGTAGGAAGACAATTTGTAGATCGGTTGGTTTACAACGTTCTTTTTACATTTTTGGCAAAATCTTTTTTTCTGGTTTAAATTTTGTTCAATCCATAAAAGTCTTGTGTTAGTTACACCCAATGAAAAAAGTGACACAATTAATCTGTAGTATATGATTGGGTTTTATTTAGATTTTAAAATTTTCTACATAAACTCTAATTTGGGCGGTACAAAATATCGCTTAATCTGTTAAAATTGTATTGATCTGTATCAATCTACACTGCTCTATCCGCTAACAGCAGTTTAAACTTAAAAATTTATTATCCATCTTTAAAACCGTTATGCTCTATTATAATTAATACATATATATTTTTTAACTTATAATAAAATATTAAAGTAAACATCCAAATTGCACCACGCGTACTCCTAACTCCAACTAACCCGAACCAATTAGACCATAGCCCAATGTGTATAATAATTTTATTTTTTGTGGTGAGGGGCATTAATGCTGTTTAGTTAAGAGATTTAGAAAAAAAAAAATGTGTAAAATAAAATAAAATATAATATAAATATATTTTATTCACATTTTACATTTTTTTTTTTCATTTTTCTTGTCAATGTTTCAAACATCAGATTAATGTTTCGAACATTAGATTTCGAACATCAGATTAATATTTCGAACATTAAATTGATGTGCAAATGGGACTAAATGGAGCATAAGAAAACTTTTATGACTAAATGATTCAACTTTTCAGAAACTAGCACTTATGGGTAAATTTTCCTATATTTTATTCACATTTTACTTTTTTTTTTTTTCATTTTTCTTATCAAATCATTTCTTAAATTTTCCAACCAAACGCCACATAAGCCATACAATAATAAAGATGAAGGGGTCTGTCAGCAACTCCTCTCAAATCTGCTGGAAGGTTAATTCGGTGGCTATAATCCCTTACCTTACCTGACGAAGTGGAGAGAGAGAGAGGATGAGCAGCACTAGCACCATAGCCTTTCTGTTAGTACCAAGCCCATACCAACCTTATAGTGTATCTCAACGAAGCTACAATGGCCAAACACTCTCTTTCACCAGATCTTCACTCATCATCAACCACATCCCTCTCTCTTCTACTTCTTCTTCGTCAAGTTCTGTCGTAGTAGAAGAAGAAGAAGAGAGTCCTTCTCCTTCTCCTGATGGCCTTGCCACTCAAGACCCCGACAACGCATTTCCTCCTACCAGGTATCACCGCTTTCTTCACCTTATCTTCTCAATAATATGCTCAATTCATGAAATCGGAATTGACTGCTAAACAACCCACTCGTTTTACCAATTCAGGTGTAAAATTTGACTTCAATTTCACTTTCAAACATTTTTTATATATGATATATGTGTGTGTATATATATATATATATATATTTCAGGTCGTTTATCCATTTGTTGTTGAATTTGTAATGTATATGGTGTTGGGCATACTCACTGGCGGAGCCAGAATTTGGCTGAGAAATTATTAAGCTAGTACTCAAGTTTAGTTTGTAAATAAGTAATTATTAATATTTCAAAATTATTCTATATCGTATCATTCAAATTAGTTGTTGTGAAGTTTTTAAGGAGTCAATCTATGTACATATTCTAGTCAATATTGTGTCATGTTTATTGGAACAAGAATGGGAATTTTTTAGGGGACATGTACATAATTTCTGAGGAAAAAATTGAAAACCTTTTCAAAACCTTAGGATAAAATGTAATTTTTGAAATGTTGAGGGGCACGTCCCCGCCTTGGACATATAGTGGCTCCACCACTGGTCATACTTGGTCAATGATGATGAAATTGCTTCAAGAATGGTTGAGAATTGAGATGTCACCTGAAGTAAGTGAGACTTAGTTGGGTGTATGGAAAATTAGAGGGGAGCATTGGGTTATCTAGCGTTTCTTTGATCATTTAACTAATGCCATGGTTTGATATGATTGTCTCAGTGAGTGGAATGCTTATTTTTGGCGATTTAATGGAATTTGTCTACAGGGGTTGTAAGGCATGTGGGAGGGAGGTATTGGAGAAGGGATGCAATGGTGAGGGAAGGATTCAAGGTGGGATTGCTACAGTCCCAGGCTTTGGTTGGTGGCCCATAAAGGCTTACAGGCCTTGTCCTGGATTTGTAGCATCTGGTGGTAGATATCGACGACGTGGGCAAAGCATGGATGAGGTTGCCTTTGGAAGGGGGGAGAAGGACTAACAATGAGGCTCAATCAAGGTAGAGATGGATTTCCTTGTTCATTTCTATTTTCAAACTTCCGTGTTTTATTTAATTTTTTATTTTTGGCTGTCTCCTGGTATGTTGTGGAAATGATTATTTTCAAATGTTTGAGGATTGGTTAAATAATGTTACATGGGTACTCAGATGATGATTTGTTTCCTAATGGCCTAGGGAGTTGAGGACAAATCTAGGTTGAATTGTTTATGTCCAACTATTCTTCTAGCCAAATAGGATAAACATCTTGCATTCTTGATCACAATGATTGGATCAAGGAAGGGAGTTGTGTAAGATTTTTTGAGCACCCAAAAAACCTTTGCCCAGCCTTTTAGACGATGGAATGTGTGAAAAATCACGTGAAGTTTCGTAGCCTTTGTGTGTAGGAAAGCACATCATATTTGATTTGCACTTGACAATCCATGCCTTGTAGCAAACTGGAAGTTTTTATAAATTACGAAAAAACAACTTTGCTACCACAATACAGTTTTTTTTTTTTGTTTATTTTATTTATTTATTTTTTTTAATTTTTTTTTTTTGGGTGATGGACAATGGTCAAGATATGTATTATGGTCTTTGACAAAGGGAAAAATTACTCCCGGCTTTTTTTATTCTGATTCAATATCAAATAGCCGCTTTGTGATGGTTTTGACTCTTTCTTCTGTTGTCATTCTCCAGCAGATCGACAGTCATATTCATTAATTGGTTATTGTTTGTGCTCCTCTTTTATTTTTATTTTTTATTTTTTGGTTTTTGGTTATTGGTGTTTTTCCCCCACCCATATGGGGGTTTAGTGTATCTGCAGGATAATCAATCCATTTCTCTGCTAAGTGCTAAACTTTGATTTCATCACACGTATTCAACAGAATAAATTTCAGGAAGCTTTAAGATACGTTGAAAATTGCATACTGACAATGGTTGCTATGCATTGCATCATTTTCTGCCTAAAAAACTTTTGAGTCATTTAGGTTGCTATGCATTGCATCATTCTCTGGTTTCTTCTTTACTCTTGGCTACTATATGTCCTCTTTTAGATTTGTATTTATCAGTTAGCCTGCTTTGGATGTGTTGTGGGCCTCTGCTTTGGATGTATTTTCTGCGGGTTGTGCAGTTCTCTTATTTAGTGTCTTGTTAGTCCCTTTGTCTGGTTTCAATGCTGCTATTTTGCACCTTAAGGAGGTGATTGGAGATTTTGTTTTGCTCTATTTTGGTCTGTTCTTGGCCCTCTCTATCTTTGATGGGGTTTTTAACAGGGCAATTAGTTTTATGTTGTAGCCTCTGCTTCCTCTTAGGTTTATTTTGTATTTGTTTAGTTAGCTAGCCGCTCGTGTGCTTCTGTGGCTTTGTATAGTTTGGTAGGTCCTGGGTATGCCTCTTGTAATCTTGTATTTGCCCGTTTGCTGTTTTATTTTGTGACTCATTCACCCAAAAAAAAATAACTTTTGAGTCATGTAGGACTGATACTTGGAGCTACAAAATTGCTTTCATTCATATCTTTTTGTATATTCATGTTCCTCTATCCCGTTGGTTATTCATTCTCATGATAATTTGGAATTTCAGGGTGTGTTTTTATATTGTTATTGCTGTTGTCTTTATCAAGAACTGCCCATTTGCGCCAACAGATTAGATTTTATTTATTCGAATCGACATTTGAACTTGTGCAGTGGACTGATTTACTAGTGTGATTGTATGCCTAGTCATTTTTGCAGCAAGAAGAACACAAGGCCCAAGGAGATTCAAGAGGTAACTTTTTGTCAAAAGTTATTGGTTACTTCTAGTTCAATACAGATCACACGGAACCAGTTGCTTTCTTGGAATGTCGAATATATGTTGCAGTTACCTGGCATTAGAAAAGAAACATGTTTCCCTTCGGCCTTCCCTCCCAACTTATCAAGAAAGATTTGAAGGTGTTCTAGTTGGCCTATGCTATATTTTATCTTATGTAAATGTAACCAAGACCCACATTTCATTGTTCTATCTTTTGCTGTGGGTGCAAAATGTAATACGCAGATATGCTATTGTATGGTGAAGATAATTTGGAAGAATTTGATTAAATGATTACAGGGAAAATGTTGAACCAGTTTTTCTGTACTTGATCTGAAATAGTTGAAACATGACTGTATAGACTGGTGTTGTTTGGTGTAGCTGTTAAAACAGATTATAGATTATAGTTTAACAGATTATAGATTATGACTTTAATCAGAAGCTGTTAATCTGTTTGGTATAGCTGTTAGATTATAGATTTAAGTTGGTGAGCAGTGTTTGTTAAATAAGCTGTGAAGTAACTTTTTCAATTAATTTTTATTTTTTATTATTCACTATTTGTCTACATTTTTCATAAAAAATAATAATAATATTTTATAGTCCATTTGGGTCTTTTTCTATTTTTAAAAAAATAAAAAATAAAAAAATCTAAGAGTATAATCGTGAATTAACATGTCCACAGCAGAAACTGATAATCAGAAGCAAGGGGTGAGCAGCTTCTCAGAATCAGCTTTTTTTACTTAAAATAAGTTGTTAGAATCAGAAGCTATTTGAAATAAGTTTAAGTAAACAGTCCAAAATAACTTTTTAAAAGTCAGAAGTCATAAGTTGGCTTAAAAAAGTTCCACCAAACACCCCCACTATCAAGCTGAATTATAACTGAATTGAGAATGAAATACAGTCTGCCACCAACAATTGTTTTCTGGGTCATGGTGCTTCAATCATGGCAACTAGGGAGCTAGTTGCATCCAAAATGGGTATCAAGGTTAGTTTTGGTCGTTGAGTCGGAGGTTTTATGTTAAATTTTATGGGTTTAACTTGATTGCCTAATAACAGTTTTAGAGTACCATACATACAAAAACATTTCAAACTAAAATCTAAATAAGATCAACTTTAATGATAATAAGATTCTATTTTTAACCCAAGGTGGGTGGCATTGTGGTTAAGTCTTGGGGTTTAAGCCTCAAGGTCATGAGTTCAATTCCCTCTTTGAATTATAACTGAATTGAGAATGAAATACCAGTCTGCCACCAACAATTGTTTTCTGGGTCATGGCTTACCATTCTGGTGCTTCAATCATGGCAACTAGGGAGCTAGTTGTATCCAAAATGGGTATCAAGGTTAGTTTTGGTCGTTGAGTCGGAGGTTTTATGTTAAATTTTATGGGTTTAACTTGATTGCCTAATAACAGTTTTAGAGTACCATACATACAAAAACATTTCAAACTAAAATCTAAATAAGATCAACTTTAATGATAATAAGATTCTATTTTTAACCCAAGGTGGGTGGCATTGTGGTTAAGTCTTGGGGTTTAAGCCTCAAGGTCATGAGTTCAATTCCCTCTTCCTTGGGCCAATCTCCTGGGCAAAGCACAGTTGGTTAGGAGGTTGGACCTCAAGTTGTCTAATCAGCACTTGGTGTGGGTTCTATACTCCCCCGCTGTGCGAGTTCGGAGGAATCCACATTGTGTGAGTGCCATACCCATAAAAAATATTTGATAAAATTCTTGAGATTTCTAGCATTATTCACTGAGTTTTCCTTTTATCTAAATTTAATGAATTAAATTGACAGATTGGGATTAACATTGGCAGTTAAGTTAATCACAACAGCATGACAGTTTTTTTTCGACGTTACAATCATCCAAATGTAATAGAGTATACAAACATAATAAAGTTCCTAGCTTTCAAAGCCGTTAATTCTCTCATGATCACTAAATATTATTAATTTATTTTTTTTAATTTTAAAATCCTATATTAAATATCTCAATTATAAAATTGAATCACTCTTAAAATGGGCAATTTTAACTATGGGGATATAATTTTTGAATGACAATACGTGGCCGAAGTGGTACCGGAGTGCCAGCCGATGTGCCACGTGTCTTGGACATAACGCTGAGATAATCTCGGCTAGGCCGATGTTATCTGCGAGAATACTAGAATCCGAAATAAGCGGAAAAGAGACGAGTCCTAGAATGGAGGGGACTTCAGTTTGGGTAAAGATAAGACTCTTAAAAAGTTTATCCTAATCCTACTGGAAGTCCAAGATTAGTAGTAATCCTAAGTCCATTGAAGCTAGGCTTCTAATAGGATTAGGTCAGTGTTGGCTATAAAAGAAAGGCACACTCATGGGTCTAAGGTACGCTTTTTGTATCCTGAATAATGAGTTAAGCACTTTTGCTATTTTTGAGAGATAACTGGCTTGATCGTTGGAGTGCTCCCGGGTGGATGAAATACTGCCGAAATCTCTTCTTTCTGTTGCAGGTCGTTCGAGCGCAATCTATTCTGTCGGTGTTCACCAGCTGAGTACTAGGTTGGCAGTGTGGTCAGAAATTGACACACACAATTTGGCGCCGTCTGTGGGAAGGAAAGAGGAATAAATTGCCAATAACGGACAGAAAGAGAAGGTCGGGGACGACACTCCTACTAGGAGTGGAAAACCTATTGACCTTGACGTCGAAGAAGACAATTGCAACAAAGAGACTCGTGATAAAAATCGCGGAGAAAAGGACATCGGCTAGAAGGGTGACATCCCAAAGAAATCAGATCGAAGCGAGTATTATAACGAGGACGACTTCCAGGTATGGAAAAAAAGATGCCTGCGGAGGGACCAAGAGATGAAGGGAATGACGGACAAATTGGCGAACCTACAAACGGTCGTCAATTTCATGATGCAGAACAACGTCATGCAGCTACCGTTCCCGTTACAAGACGCGTCGATTTTAGCGGCCAAGAACAATACCCAGAAGGGAGGGTAGAAAATAGTCCCTATAGCCCCCCAGCATGTTAGGACCAAGGAACACTCTCACCGGTCTTCAAGGGAGGTCGGGCGAGGAGAGTCAATGAAAGGAGATTCACGGAGGACGCATCGTACCAAGGAGGTTGACCCCAAAGAACATCGGCACATTCAAGGGAAGGAGCTCTGTTTCGACGCAACTAACAGAGAGAGGTCTAAGAGGACTCACAATGACACCGCAAGCAGTGCGCCAAAAAGACTGAAATCCGGAGATAGCCGAGCTCCTGGGCGGACAAAGGAAGATCTAAGGGATTACCTCCAAAGGAAGCAACACGATGCCGAGATAACCTCCTCGGTTAAGCCGAGAACGCCGTTCTCGGTAGAGTTGGACAAATTTGAGGCCCCGAAAAGGTTCAGTATGCCGAGATTCCAGATATACGACTGTAAGTCGGACCCCAACTTTCATGTCGGCTTGTATCTGAACTCGATGGCACTATACACCGGAAACGAGCCGTTGATTTGCAAGGTGTTCCCCTCGTCCTTCGGGAAAATTGCTAGTTTCACAAGTTGCGGAAAGCAACTGTGAGAACCTGGGAAGGCCTGGCCGAGATGTTTGTAGCCAGGTTTGTGACAAACAAGCTATAGCCATTGAGGGTGGACGCCCTGATGGCCCTGAAAATCGGCGAGGACGAAAACCTTAAGGCCTATGCCAAAAGGTATTATGAGGCCTTCAACCGAATACCAGGATGCAACCAAGAGGTGGCGGTTGTGTCGTTTAAGAATGGCCTGAAAGATGACTGTCTACTTCGAAAATCACTGAAAAAGACATTGCCGAAAAGCATAGAGGAGCTTATGGCCAGGATAGAAAAGTATGCCAAGGCCGAGGAGGACACACCGGGGACAAAGGCGTCAAAACAAGAGAAGAAAAGCGGCTCGCCGAAGCGAGGCCGAGGTGATGGTAGATACAGTAAGCAAGAGACAGGACTAAGGGTTGCACAAGCAGTCAGAACCGTATTTCGGATCCCGGTTTACAAAGTCTTGAAGAAAATCCGAAATCAGCCCTATTATAGAGCACCAACAAGGGTACCTAGCGAATTTATGAGAAGAAGCCTTGGCAAGCACTATGCTTACCATAATGAAGCTGGACATCTAACTCAGGGGTGCAGAGCCCTAAAAGTACATCTAGAAGACCTGGTAAGACAGGGCCATTTAAGGGACCTAGTAGACGAAGCCAAGACAAGGGAAGAGCAGGCAAGACTGCCTCAGGCATCGGCAGCACCGCCTCCTCCAGCACCACAACTGTAGGCAGGCGAACCTCGAGTGATCAATGTGATTCACTCGAAGGTCAATGAGAACAAAATACGTGGGGAGACTCAGAAAGTAAAACACTTACAGCATGTGTACCAGGTCCGTCAAAAAAGACCTAGGGCAGACGAGTGCCAAGGACCAGTGGTGTCCTTTACTGAAGACGACTTAAAGATGGTGCAGCATCCACACAACGATGCCTTGGTAATATCCCTCCAGATTAGAGAGTGCCAAGTGAAGCGCATCCCAGTTGACCAGGGCAGCTCTTATGACATCATGTATGTCAAGTGTTACTAGGAGCTTGGCCTTCACCAAGATGATCTGGAGCAGTCCAATGGCCCAATGGTTGGGTTCAATGGAACGCCGACATGGCCCCTGAAAGCAGCAAGTTTGGAAGTGCAGGCTGGCACCAAGAAGATAAAAACAGAGTTCACCATAGTCAACACCCCCTCCTCTTATAATGTTATCCTAGGAAGGCCATGGCTGCATGCAATGGGGGCTATTCCCTCGACATTACACCAGCTATTGCGGTTCCCAACAGAGCATGGAATAGAGGAGATCAGAGTGGATCAGGTGCAGGCAAAGAATTGCTCCATGGCAGCAATGAAATCTACCTGCAACATACGAGAAGCAGAAAAAGCAGAGATAGAGGAAGAGGACAAGGAAGAATTGGAGGACGTCGGCAAAGAGCCAGCTGAGAAGAGTGAGGAAGCCCTGAAGAAAGTACTTGTCCAATAAGGGGACGAAGAACGCGTCTTCCTTCTTGGCTCGGGCTTGGCCAAGGAAGAGGAAAAAGAACTGGAGGCGTTCTTGAGAGCAAACCTGGAGGTGTTTGCATGGACGCCATACGAAATGCCTGGCATCGACCTCGAGGTCACTTGCCATAGAATGAATGTGGAAAGGTCGGCCAAACTTGTCATCCAACGAGCAAGGAGCCCGACATTAATGCATGTTGAGACAGTAGAGGAGGAAGTGGATAGGCTTCTTGAGGCCAGAGCCATTTGAGAGGTAAATTACCCGACATTGTTATCAAACACAGTGGTGGTGAAGAAAAAGAATGGGAAGTGGAGGGTCTATGTGGACTTCACTAGCCTAACACAAGGCTTGTCC